TTGCAAAGCATCAAATAGATGAGAGTCGATTCGAAAAGTATCCAATCGTGGAAATAACTCGATTGCAGGAGGGTCACCGCTCCTCTTCGGGCGGCTACGCCGAGTCTCCGCCGGATCTGCGCGGTTGGACGGAGGAGGAGAGGCGTAGACGGAGGAAGACGTTCTCCCTCGACTTTCTGGGGGGCATGGAACGGGGCGCGGAGCCGTACGGGGACAGCGTGGAGCTGAGCCCGACGCCGAGCCACCGTCATCGGCCGAGGGGGAAATCGGCGAGCGCGAGGAGTCCGCACAAGAACAACAGGAAGCGGGAGATCGCGCAGCAGCAGCAGCAGCAATCGGTGCAAGCGCAGCAAGCGCAGCAGCAGCAGATCAGCAGCAGGAGCCCCCAGAAGGAGGAGTGGCGGGTGGAGCAGGTGGAGGATGGCGGCCACGTGCCTACCTCGGACGATTCCAGCTGCAGCCACCACTATCACATGCACCATCACCATCATCATCACCTGCATCGCGAGGGAGTGGATGCAAGGCACAGGAGGACGAGGGAGAGTCCGAGGAGGAAGACGACTGGTTATGTTTCCACAAGGAGGAGGAGTAACGAGGTGAATGGGAACATTCGAAGGAAATGTTCACTTTTTTTTTTTTTTTGTTTATTTATCTTTGCAATAGTTTTATTTCGCATCAGGAAAAAGTCCACGCTGCCGTGGTGTTCTAATTTGCATTTCAAAAATATTGGAGTAACACGAGATATGAGTGTGATATGTGATATATAAATAAGTATATTTTCAAATTCATGAGTTAGAAATTTTGAGAATACGAATATAGTTCTTCGAGTGAATAATCGTAGTATGCAATGTTGTTTTTTGTAATATTTCTTGTAATAATCTATCTGGGAATTTAATTTCGAAATTATCTTTTGGCAATCAGTGGGATTTTCCAGTAAGACATATTTCTAAATTCTTTAACCTTACTTTTTTTCTTTTCTACGTTTTTTCACGTTAAAAAATAGTTTTACACGTAAAGTGAAATTTGTAAAGTGTATCATTTTTATATATATATATATATATATAACTAAAATCCTGCATGGTTGTTTAATATTTTAATATAACTTCTTTAAAAAAATAATATCAATTTCTTCCTCTTCGCGATGAAATAATAGTGCAATCTATTAATATATTTAAGAACCATATTAATTGAAACTCCCACTTTAAGTATAAATACAGATCAAGCACTCGATCAAACCTTTCAAAGCACAATTAATTAATATTGGCACGAGAACAATTGTAGAATTGAGTGGAAAAGTGGTACTAAACCTCTCCATCACAAATCAATTATTAGAAAAAAAAAAAGAATCGATCGAAGAGATGCATAGACACGTGTGCTCGAATTGATCGAATCTAAAAATATATAGAAATATATTCCTCGAAAAAAATAACAAATCGAAATATTGTTATCGAGAAAATTTATATTATCTCTCATTAAGAATTTTATTATAAACTTCCAACCCTCTCGTTTCGACGATACACTTTTCCATATAAATTTCCAATATATCGAATTTAAAAATAAAAATTTCGTGCCACTTTTCGATCCAAGACCCCGATATATTTGCAATCCTTTCGCTACTACGGGCGACTTTTCCGCCGCGGCAAAAGCGTGCTCCAAAAAAATCGTTGCTTTAACGGTATTTATTGAAAAAAAAAATATCTATATTTCCAAAGAATCATACGATACACGGCATCTTGACCAGATAGTCGCCCGTAATAGCGAAAGGAAGTTAATCACATTTTCCAAAAATTGTGCACCCCACGCACCGCAATCATCACTGAAAATTCGAAAACTTGGCAGCGAGACATTCACTTTTTAACAATTTCTTCAAATTACCCCAATTTCGTTCCCTTCGATCCGCTCGTTCGACGCTGAAAGGGTGAGGGTCCAATAACTAACGTTTCACACGTTTAAGGACAAGAACGCGGCCATAACGGGGAGCCTGCCACGAAGAAGGTCGCGGGCGGCGGACGACATAATGTGTTCGAGGTTGAGCCCGGGCCGTTATCAACGAAGTCCCGGGCACAACGGGCAAAGGGCGGTGATCGTGGAGTCGCAGAGCCCCGAGGCCAGACTGAAGGCTCTTTCAGCGGAATCGTTGAGGTCTGTCAGCCCCGGCAGCGACAGTGTTTTCTACAGCGAGGGTGCGGACCAATGCTTGACCATCGGCGCCCTGGACGCCCCGCATTGCCACCACTGCGGCAGAGAGGTAAATTATCCTCCACCACCACCACCACCACCGTTTCTCAACGTTTCCTCCTACGAAAGGAAGCAAGTTCGAAGGCATGATACACGATAGGGGCTGCCTTCTTTTTTTTTTCTCTCTTCTACCAGGTTTTCGTTCCCTCCCTTTACTCTTTACTTTCGGTGGAATCGAGATTGTATTGTTGCAACGTTATAGTTCACGAATAATCGCGAACTAGATGAAGCGATAGTATATATATAGAGTAGTTTGTTTAATCGTTGCTTGAATTTCTTCCTTTCTTCCTACTTGTTTCTGCTGATTGGCTAGAGTTTCTTATATCCAGAATATCGTGGAACACATTTGGAACGTCGATTTCTAGAAGCGAAAACAAATTCGATTGGACGAAGCGTGATAGCTTAATATTCGTTCCCCAATCTCTAGAATCGATTTCTTCCCAAACGTGTTCCCTTGAAAAACGAAAAGAAACAAAGTTATTCGACCGATCAATCAGTTTAAATTCGACTTAAATCTCCAGCAAGCGCCAAAAAAAAAAAAAAAAAAAGAAAAAAAATATGGAATCTCGAATCGATCTGTCTTCTCTATCTGTCGGTCTATCTACCTCTTTTCTCTATCGTGCGTGCCGTCGTGTTGCTCCACCCTCGGAGGTCTCGGAAGAGATCGTTCGACCGCCGGCAGGTTTCGCGGACTCACCCGAGGGGCACAGGTCGTCCACGTCGAAGCACGTGCCCGGCCACAGGCTGTACAAGAAGTTCGACAAGAGGTACAGGTCGGAGGATCGTGGGGACAGGCGGCACAGGCGCAGCAGCGCGGGCAGGTCGGACGTCAGGGCGAAGTCGGAGGAGAGGGTGGCCTCGAGGCGAGGGAGCAGAGGTTCCATCGACGACACTGCCGCCGGGAGGAAGAGGCTTCACGCGAGGAGCACCGATGTCAGCTTGGAGATCCTCACCGGTTGGTATTGCCTCGCTTTACGGCCAAAATATTTAAGGAAAGCGTATATAATTGGGGATCAATTACAAAATTCGATTAGATTCAAAAAGCAGTTCATAAGCATTTCATAAAGCAGGATCGAGATCCTGTCTCTATGAATTTTGATGTGTTGTAAAGTAAACTGGGATATTGTTGCCTGTGCTTTAACACGAGAAATAAATTTAAACGCAAAGATTGGAAATGGAATCGCATGGAATTTGAGCCTGGCAACCTTTCACCAACTGTGATTATCGTATATTGATTCAACGACGTTCTATCAAATTTTATACACGTATACAGAGTTGGTACGTGTGAAATATTGCTAGAGAGATATGGATAAAGGGATTAGACCTAAGAAATCTCGTGGGATACGTGGATCTAGGATTGTATACGAGAATATTGAAGATTAAGGTTTCGGTGATATATACATCGTGGTGCAAGAGTAATGGGAAAAGAATCGGACGTGAGACGACGTATTAAATCTTAATGCTCCGGAGGAAATGTTTTACGGCTTGTCGTGTATCTCTCTCTCTCTTAATAACGACATTTTGCTTGTTGGATGACTCTAGAAATTTTCTTCAAAATGTTAAATTGAAATTAATAGAATTCAACGCGCTGGAATTATCGAGTCGATTTAATTTTTTTTTTTTTTTTTTTGGTATTAGCAATATCATTGATTATAGCAATAAATGATAAATTTATCATCGTATTATCGTAAGGATTATCTGAAAAGAATTTTGCCAACGAAACTTTTTCTATTTCTTATCGCGTTTCATTTTATTATTAAAACATTTTTTGCGATGGTAAAAAAAAAAAAAGGAAAGAACTTGAGAAAAAAACATTACGCAAACTTTATTAACTTTATTAACTGCTTTCATATTCTAGCACGAATATGAAAGGTAAATGGGCGTACAAAGTATCCGTGAATAATAAAAGCGGATAGGTATCGCCCCCTTGTAAAAAGTTACGTTAATGAAAACGTGATTTAAAACAAAAAAAAAAAAAAAAATTTAAGCGAAATACCGCGGCGTTCATTAATTAAAAAAGTTCATCCTGACTCTCTCGTATCATTTGTCTTCCTTTAAGGTGATTAGTCGTCCCGCCGTTTGTTAAGATTCCATCGATTTTAATCAAGAAACAAAGTTTTATTAATTTTTTTTCTTATTTTTAATAGATCTATTTCATTCACCCGGTGTTTTCATTTGTGGATCGATCGAATAATAATTTCTAATTTAGAAGTACAGAATAAAAAAACATTAAAGAACGAGATGTAAAATTAGGAAGGATAATTATACACGCCTACGAGATTGCTCGATTAATAAATTTCAATTATTATAAAAAAAAAATTTAATGTTTTTAAATAATTGGAGATAAGTGAATCAAAAAATATAAATATGTTGGTTATAAAATTAATAAAAATTCATTCATATATAATAGAGATTAAGAAAAATATTGAACGCTTAAAATGTAATTTAAAATATAATTTCGGTGCTCGAATAACACGAATACGCGTTCGAGAAAGGGTGTACCGGGTCACTTTATGTAATATTCTATTCAAAATTTTCTATAAAAGCGTAAATAAAAAGCATTGTTGGGAAATATGCGAAATATATTCAATTCGCAAAAATATTTATCCTTCATTAATACGTAAAACATCTGCGTATTAATAAAATTTTCGTTCGATAATAATAGAATGAATATTCATTATTATTTAAATATATTATAGATACATATACTTGCATTAAAAATTCGTATCTATAATTTATATTACTTGTTCAAATAACACATCGATAATGGAATATTTGTTTCTTAAGATAGAAACATTAAAAGTAATGAAGAATAAAAAATATATATATATATATATATATCTTCAAAAAACTTCCATTCTCGATGAAACGACAACACGTCCCCGAAAATTTATCTCGTGAAAAGTTTTTTATTGCCTCCAAACTCGTTGTTTTTACGTTTTAATGTCTGTTTTAAGGTCGAGAGGACGAAGACACGTACGTGGAGCCGTACACAAGCAGCGAGTGGATTTACATCGGCGATCTCGAGGAGAGCCACGTGTGGAAGAGGCCGGACGGCAGGGAAACGGACGACGAAATTGTGGAGAGCGTGGCGAAGGAGAGGAGGGGTTCGCAGGAGTCGACCGAGAGCGAGAGAAACTTCAGGAAAAAGTATCAGGCGACGACTCAAAGGATAGTGCACCGAAAGATCAGCGGAGAGATGTACAAGAGGATACAGACCAAGTGTTTCGGTGAGTTGTTCCACACCATTCTCTCATTATTCCACGCTGGCCAACTTCTTTTATTAGGTGCGGAGAGAACGACAGTTCTCCGCTTTTAGTTTTATGGTCTAAAGCTATGTAGTTGGCTATATAGAGCAGCTTGGGTGTTTTCGTTCCCCTTCCACGCGTTTAAGGATTACGTATTGCGCGTATTATGGGAAACGTGTAACGACAAATTTATTCAATATTTCATATAGTATTTTTGAAAATCGAATCGCAGTAATGGTGTATGATATATGCGTGAGTCGGTATTGAAATATTCGGTTCGGTGTAAAAGATTGGAAAAATTGAGTAGAATAAAGAGGACAATATTTTAAACGTACGATCATTATCATTGAATCTGTATTTATTCTGTTATAAGTGTAGGATTACATCATGTTCTCTTGCTCGTGGATTTTCTGCATTTTCTTAATACAAATAAAAATCGATCTTGAATGGAATGTCCTCGATTTATACGGACACACTTCAGACTTTGTGAGTAAATCTCAACGTAAAGGTTATCTTTCTAAATATAATATTGGAATATTTAAAATGAAGGCTTTCGTAATCAAGGCTGAAATCGATCGATTTGTAATTCACCTTGTAACCATAACATAGATGTCGCTGCTTATATATTATATATTTATATTCTTAACAATAAACATTAGAGATTTTTAGAATTTTTTTTAAATACTGCATTTTCTATAAAATTTGCGATCTAATAATAATTTAATAATATATTTTTGTTTTTTTTTTTTTTCATTCGTTGATAGTTTATCGAAACAGAATAATTTATCTTGTGTATCTATTACACTGCAAAATAATATATTCATAGAAAATTTTATCAATGAAAAAAAAAAAAAGTGAACGCGCAAAAAATATGAATATCAATTTTCATACATTTTTTTTTTTATACGTTAAAAAAATGCTTGTGCAAATATTGTGGATATAAAGTTTAGCTTATGAAAGCCAGATTTCAAATGTAATGTAATCGATAATAGTTTTCGTTTGATATAAAATAAACATATTCGTATAACAAATAGAATTATAATTAAATTCTGTAATTCTGAAACCTATCAAATTGCATTTCAATGAAATTTCGTTACTACAAAGTAACGACAATTAATATTTTTTTAATCATCGATTAATTATTTAACGTTTCATACTTGCAATTATTCTATTTAATTTAATCACATCAATCTAAATTCTTTTAATTATTAATTGCGAGCTTTATAAAATAATATCGGCTAATTGAATTCAACATTTTCATTCAGCGCGTAACTTTGTTAAAATGCCTTAACAAAAGGCAAATCTCGTAAAATTCTCATCCATTCATTCAACTTTTGAATAAGTTAAATATCCTATGTTAAAATTAGAAATAAAATTTCCATAGAAAGAAATTACATTCTATCATAATACATACGTGTATTGAATCTAATTTTCAAAAAGTCTTCTAAGCAATTTATCATCACTTGTCGAAATACGAAAAATAAACGAGGCTATTTATGACAGACGTTACGTCTCGATAATCAGATGATTGTCCAGCAATTAAAAAAAAAAAAAAAAAGGCTCGTTTAAAATAAATCTGATGCGCTTGAGCCGATCATTCGAAAACAAACCATTTTAAATACATTCCACTTAGCGGACTATATTTAACAATGACGCTCGCAATTGGGATCAAGAGTATTTTACACAAAAACTGATTGCTCTTTGCTTGGAAATTTAGTCCGTTTCCTAAACGATGGTTAAACGATCGCCATAGAAAAACATTCATTCGGTGTTTATTATTGACAATCTGTTGTTGCAATCGTTATCGATATACAACAAACGTGCGTGCGTGTAATTAAGCACAGCTAAAATACAGCTTTCAATATGTTAATGGCTCAATTTACGTTGAGCTGCTGCAATTAATTTACAATATATTATAAATTCGCGGGGAAATAAGTTAGCATCGCGTTTATTGGAATAGAATTTCAAAAAAAAAGAAGAATGTATAGAGAGAAACGTTCGCAAAGAAAATGAATAAATTATCACGAGAAGGACTTGTGACGAAATGGCCAAGTAATTGATCGCAGTTGAATATTTTTCGCTACTCGTGATAAATCGTGGTCGATATCTCGAACTACCGCGATGCTCGCTGCAATAAATATTCGCCATATTCGCCCGTTCTCATTGTGCAACTCATGTTAAAGCTGTCGCTAAATTTATGCCCTCCGGGAAGATTGCAAGGGGCATTTACCATCCCTTCAAAGATGGTCGATGTTACAGGTTGTGTGTGCCGAGTGTCGACAAGCTTCTCGAGATAGTTATAACTCGGGGAAAGAATTATCCCCGATAAGTCACACGAATAAATCGAAATTTTTCACGTAACACGAGACTAAAGAGGATGCTTGAGTACATAGTTTACGCTACGGGGATAGATTTACGATGGGACTGTTTAACTTGATACTCGTTGCTTTCATTGTTTCACGACACGAGTCTAAAGTTAATACGTTGCTAATGGACTAACTCTTAATCCTCTGGTTGGACGAATAAAAAAGTTGGTTATTTGTTCGATCGAAAAATTATTTTGAAATTTGAATAATTTTTCTTTCTTTTTCTTTCTTTCTTTTGTTTAGATATTAGTTATTTTATTTTCGTCCTTCTGTCTATCCGTACTGTGAGGTGGTAATACATTTATGGAATATCTTTGGAGGAATCCAGATCAACGTGAAAGTTGGTATATAAAAAAATGTCGATTTTATGTTTTATTCATTAAGTTTTGCATGATATAAAATATCGATATCGATCTATAACGTAGTTAGAAATTATATTGCACGCACGGGTGTACGGGAATCGTGAAAAATAAGTATAGCATACTTTTGAAATTCATATCACAAACTATGTATATAAGTATGCAAGGTATGAAGAGAGATGAAGGTAAGGGAGAGATATTCAAAAGCAAAACTAATATGTGAAATGTTAAGTATGACGGATATAGGTTAACTTTTATTATTGAAAGGAATGCAATTTAAATTGTGAATAATTTTATTTGGAAATTTAGTGGAAGGAAAAATTTGTTTCAAATATTATCTTTCAAGAAAAGTATTATTATTAATCGAACAACTATTTTTATAATTTTTTCATTCATATTTTTTCAACGTATAGAGAAACTTGCTAATAATATCAACAAATATTTGATAATTCAATAAAATATTCATTAAAGAATATAAAAATCAATATAATTCAAATAATAATTTTTCTTATAATTAACGAATAAAAATCATTTTTGTCAAATTTAATTGAAACAACATTGTCATGGAAAAAGATGATAAAGTGATACCGAAGTAAAAAATATTTATTTTCCCATACTTTTTTATCTATTCGATATAGTTTCAACTTTCCATAGATGAATATTTATATATCTTTGTGCCATGCTTGACTTTTATTCCATTAATATTGTAAAACTTTTCGAATGATTGAAATATGCGTCGAAAAGAACAGAAACATACATTTGGAATTATTTAAAAATGTAAAG